CTCACCTCAGCCTCCCAAAGGCGTGGGATTACAGGCTGAGCCACCGAGCCTGGCTTGGCTAACTTTTTAAAGAAAATTTTGTAGAGACAAGGTCTATGTTGCCCAGGCTAGTCTCAAACTCCTGGACTCAGGAAATCCTCCTGCCTTGGCCTCCCAAAGTGTGGGATTACAGGCATGAGCCATCACTCCCAGCCTAGGACCTGTTTTAAATCAGCAATTATGGCCGGGTTCGGTGGCTCAGCCTGTAATCCCAGCACTTTGGGAGGCTGAAGCAAGTGGATTGCCTGAGCCTGCGGGTTCAAGACTCAACTGGACAAGTTGGCAAGACCTCGTCTCTACAATAAATCAAAAAATAGCCAGGTGTGGTAGTGCACGCCTGTAGTTCCGGCAACTTGGAAGGCTGAGTTGGAAGGATCACCAGAGCCCAGCAGGTTGAGGCTGCAGTGGCCGGGAGCGTGCCACTGCACTCCAATCTGGGCGACAGAGTGAGAATCAAACTCTAGATAGATAGATAGATAGATAGATAGATAGATAGATAGATAGATAGATAGATAGATAGATAAATCAGCAGTTATGAGGCTGCTGGTAGAGGCAAAAATTATAAAGATGTTCCAGAGATAATGGAGACAGCACTTGGTAACTAACTAGAATGGAGAGTCCAGGAAAGGACGTTGAGTTTCTGAGAAAGTCCAAAGATGTGATGATGATTTTCCCCAAGTCAGAGAATAGAAGAGAAACAAGCAGGCTTATTGGTAAGGCCAGGGAATGGTGACGATGAGCTATTTTTTTGACAGACTGAACTGCAAATAATTGTAAGATTCAAATAGAAATGTCTAGTGTGGAGTTAAAAAAAAAAAAGTACCCACTGGATTGGGGCCAGAAGACCTAAGCTGTGGCCCTGCACCAGCATTTAACCTGTGGGACCTTGTAAATCCCTCACCTCTCCAGAACTCAGCTTATCATGTGTAAAATGAGGGGTTGGAACTTGATGGCTCTTGAGGCCCCTTTGAGCTATAGCAACAGGCTATATCTTTTTTTGTTTGTTGTTTGAGGTGGGGTCTCATTCTGTCACCCAAACTGGAGTGCAGTGGCACAATCATGGCTCACTAAAGCCTTGAACTCCTGGGTTGCAGCAATCATTCCACCTCAGCCTCCTGAGTAGCTAGGACTACAGTCATGTTCCGCTACACCCATCTGACTATTGTAGAGATGAAGATTCATTATACTGCAATGGCTGGTCTCAAACTCCTTGGCTCAAATGATCCTCCTGACTTGACCTCCCAAAGTACTGGAATGACAAGCATGAGCCGCCACCACGCCCAGTCAAAAGTCTATATTATAATGTTTCAATAAAAGTCTGAGTTCTTCAGGGTAAAACTCTTGCCTTACACTTTTCTCAGTATCCACAGCACCCTGACACGATGAGCCCTCAACATCAGCCAAATTATCACAGCTAAAATGGAAGGCAGCCTAATCTCAAATGTCAGGCTATTCTAGACAAGTCTGGCGTGATTTCCGAGTCCCTAAATGGAAGAAATGAGAAATTCCCAAGCTCATGCCAGCAGGGCTCTGCCATGAGATTCACCCATGAAGTCCCCATCACGGAACTGTGAGAGAAGTAGCTGGGAAAGGGTTTTACTCTGTTTTCTTTGGGAGGCCCCAGTCAGGCCTGCTTATGTTGGCTATGCAAACTGAGAATCTAAGGAATGTGCTTTAAGGATGTAGACAAAAGGCTGCCCTCCTCACTGTATAAGGCTAGGTGTGTGGGAGTGAGGGCAAAAATCGTAGAAGCCCTGCGTTTGGGAAGAGCTCTAATTTAGTTCATGAGTATGAAAACTAATAAGGTAAAAATCATGTCTAGGCTGGACGCAGTGGCTCATGCCTATAATCCTAACACTTTGGGAGGCTGAAGTGAGAGGATTGCATGAGCCCAGAGGTTCGAGACCAACTTGGGCAACTGGTGAGACCTCATCTCTATAATAAATCAAAACAAAATTAGCTGGGATGGTGATGTGTGCCTGTAGTTCCAGCTACTTGGAAGGCTGGGGAGGAAGGATTGCCTGAGTCCTGCAGGTCGAGGCTGTGGTGGCCGTGAGCATGCCAGTGCCTTCCAGCCTGAATGACAGAATGAGATTCTGATTCAAAAAAAAATCTATATGTCTATCCACCATGATGAAGAATGCTAAATTGAAGTATTTCCCCTAGGTCTTGTTGTGCTGGATGCATCCTAGGTCCATTCAGTATCCCCAGGAATCACTAGGTTGTCCCCCAGAAAAAGATATCTAGGAGCTACAGACTGGACAGGGGCAAAATTATCTCTGAGGACCCAGCAAGTCAGGGTACTGCTCAAGTTATATAAGGGAAGACTCAAAAAACCTCGAATTTATTTCTACCTCATTTCTACAATAAATCAAAAAATCAGCCAGGCGTGGTAATGCATGCCTGTAATTCCAGCTACTTGGAAGGCTGAGGCGGAAGGATCGCTGGAGCCCAGCAGGTCGAGGCTGTGGTGGCCAGGAGTGGCCACTGCACTCCAGTCTGGGTGACAGAGTGAGACTCCAACTCAAAAAAAAAATGTCTATCATGTCCAGATATTGTTTAGTACCTGCAGTTTCTGCAATTTTTTCTCAATTGCTAGTTGATCCACAGGCTTCTCAGAAAAACTGACAAATTCCTTGGAGAAAGTATCCAATGCAGTATTTAAGTCTGTGACACAAACTTGGTATGAGTGGTGCTCTTGGACGTGACCTTCTAGTTTTTGCACAGAATCCTAAAAAAGAAAGTCATCAATAATTTATGAATATTTCTCTCTGAATTTTTTCACCCAGAAAATAAGTAACAATTTTAGGGTGGGAGATATTTCACTGCAAAATCTTTGCTTCCTCCCAGAAAACAACTCTTACTGAAAACACATTTGCTTTTCTCATCTTCTTTGCCTTCATTTCCTTTATGAAGACCATTTATATGTCAAGATGTATATATAATGAAATGTCTACAAATTATATCATTAAATCACAAACATTGATTATAAAGCAGCTTGCTTGATTATTCTTTGCATGCAAACCAACTATCTATGCTTGGACATGAGACCATTTGAGATCAAATAACCCCAGATTCCTGTTCCAAGAATCACTCTCTAAGCTTGTGTGTTAGGAAAAGTCATCCTAATTTAAGAGCAAAACCACCTTCAGGTTTTCTCCCTAGAGCGAGAAAATAAGATGACAATACCTGATCAGAAAAGCAGTTAACTATTAAACTAAACAATTTACAGCCAGGTGTGTCAAACTTAACCCCTGCCCAACTCCTGTTATCTGTGGAAGCAGGATTTCTTACCCAGATAGATAATCCTTACATGGAATTTGGTTTTCATTGTGCAAAAGAATTATGCACAGTTTTTTTGGGAGTTGATTTTGTTTTGGGGTCAGGGTTTCGCTCTGTCACCCAGGCTGGATTAGGGTTCATGGCAGCCTCGACCTCCTGGGTTTAGGCGAAACTTTCACCTCAGTCTTCTGCAACTGAGACTACAGGCACACACCACCACACCCAGCTAATTTTTAAATTTTTTGTTGAGACAAGAGCTTGCTATGTTGCCCAGACTGGTCTCAAACTCCTGGGCTCAAGCAGTTCTCCCACCTTGGCCTCCTAAGGTGCTGGGATTACACGCATGAGCTACCACACCCATCCATATAATAAACAATTCTATTAAGAAAATATTCTCTCTCATGACCAGCTGACATTTTACCTCTTTGCTCTGAGGGAGGGGCACCGATAAGAAGGTGGATACAGGACCACTGATATCACTGTGACATTAGATGATGGATAATAGATTGACACTATTATCTTGATAGAGATACCTAAAAAAATCTTACCCCATCTTACCCCTGAAGAGGGGAATTTCAATGAGAAAAAATAATACCACCATCAAATAATACATATCAGATTCCTCTAGCAAAACTAGCTGGATCTATTTCTCTATCACTGAAAGAATTTTAATCTAAAAACAGATAAATTAAATTGGAAAGCTCTTAGTTTACCAAAAGAACAACAGCAAAAATTCCATATACAAATTGTACATAATTAGAACAATTATTTCAAGTGTTATCTGGGTCACCTTACCTGTAGTTGCTGAAGAAGACTTTCATGTAGATGTTTTATTTCCAGCCAAGGCTCCTCACTGAAGCTGGGATTTTTAGTGCACTCCAAGAGGTAATTTCCTTGCGATTTTAACTCCTTTAGCAAGGATGTCAAATCTTGTGCTTTCTGGAGGAACTTCTTATAAATTTTTAACTGGGTTTTCTTCTCCTGCAGACCAGGCTGTAGAGCAAAGCCTGCTTCCTGCTTCTTCTTCAGTTCTGTGAGCATTAATCTCAGATCCTCCTTACTCTGCAAATACTTCTCTCCTTCCAGCAGAAGCTTTTCTTGATGGCTACATTTCACAAAATTTTTTATACATGAAATGTCATCTAGCAAGATAAACTGGCATTTTGCATTTCATAATGTAACATGCATCATAATAAACAGTATTCAAGTAACATTAATATACAATATTCCCAGAGATGTTTTTGGCATAACATTCTAAATAGCACCAAGGTTAGCTCAGAACTCACGACAAATATTATTTGAGTACTACTAAAAACTAGATGCTTTTTGTTACATAATTTGACCAGTGAATAAATAATTTAGATAATTCAAAATATTTTTAAACATTTTTATTGCATTTGTTTTTTATTTTACTTTTTAGATTCAAATTGAGATGGGCTGGGCACGGTGGCTCAAGCTATAATCCCAGCACTTTGGGAGGTTGAGGTGAGGAGACTGCCTGAGCCCATAGGTTCGAGACCAGCCTGGGCAACTTGGTGAGGCCTTATCTCTAAAACAAATCAAAAAATTAGCCAGGCATGGTAGCATGTGCCTGTAGTTTCAGCTACATGGAAGGCTGAAGTGGAAGAATCGCCTGAACCCAGCAGGTAATGCTGGAGTGGCCGTGGGCATGCCACTGCACTCCAGCCTGGGCGACAGAGTGAGACACCAACACAAAAAAAAAAAAAAAAAAAAAATTGAGATAGGGTCTCGTTATGTTGCACAAGCTAGTCTCAAACTTGTGGGCCCAAGAAATCCTCCCGCCTCAGCCTCCCAAAGTGCTGGGATTACAAGCATGAGCCCCCGTTTCTGGCTGATACTTAAATAATTACATCTTCCTTTTTCATAAAAGTAAAATAAGACTCCATAGATTAGCCATCTAACTAGTTTATGCTTCTAATAGCTTAAACTTAGTTTTGATCTGATTGTCTCCTCAGAAAAACATAAAATTCAGTCACTATTGCAGACATGATATGAGTTAAAAATTTTCACCAGAGTTACATCCACTGGATTCAGCCAGCATTTATCAATGTTCACACATTCAAGACTCTCTTAGAATAAATGTTCAAAAGTATTAATTCTTCTCCAGTGATACCAGGTAGATACTGAGGATGTCTGTAGGGGTGGAGTTTGGTACAGAGCCAAGGCATTCAAGTGTAATGACAGATAGTGCTAATTTGTGACTCAGAGTCTCACAGGTGGAGGTCCCGGCTTCACCGGGCACTCCCACACCGTCATGACAGGGCTGTTTCCTCTGACGTGGAGAACTTTTCCTCCTGGTTTCTGCCTCTGACACTGCAGATGCCCCTGAATGACTGACTTGCTCTCCAATTGAGATCATATCCAAACAAAGGCGGTAGACTGAACCACCAGGTATGGCTTCGCTGGACAATGAAAGATGACTAGCATGGCACAAGCAAGCCCTTTACCTCAGATATGTGTTGGCTAAATGGAGAGTGTTGTCCCACTGATTGCTGATATCAGTCAGGGTCTTCTGAGCCAGTGGAACCTCACGACTCTCAGTCTGCTTCATGAGGGTCTCTATTTTGGCATCCCCTTCAGGCTTTAGTAAAATGATTTCCTGAATTAAATGAAAAAGATCTTTCAATTTCATTGCATTAGTTAGAGATATCACAGAATATCTTTTTATTGTCAGCTTTATATTGAGATTCTGACTCAAGCCGGGCTCGGTGGCTCAGCCTGTAATCCCGCGCTTTGGGAGGCTGAGGTGAGTGGATTGTCTGAGCCTGCGGGTTCGAGACCTGCCTGGGCAACTTGGCAAGACCTCATCTCTACAATAAATCAAAAATTAGCCGGGTGTGGTAGCATGCGCCTATAGTTCCAGCTACTTGGAAGGCTGAGGCGGAAGGATTGCTGGAGCCCAGCAGGTCGAGGCTGCGGTGGCCAGGAGCGGCCACTGCACTCCAGTGTGAGTGACAGAGTGAGACTCCAACTCAAAAAAAAAAAGAGATTCTAACTCAAAATAAGAAGTATTTTGAGTGTATTTCAAAATAATGGCTGGGCATAGTGGCTCACACCTGTGAACCCAGCATTTTGGGAGACCAAGGAGGGATAACTGCTCGAGCCCAGGAGTTTGAGACCAGTCTGGGCAAAATAGTAAGACCTTATCTCTACAAAAAATAAAAAAAGATTAGCTGGGTGTGGTGGCGCACATGAGTAGTCCCAGGTACTCATGAGGCTAAAGTGGGAGGATCGTCTGAGCCTAGGAGGTTCAAAGCTGTGGCGAGCCATGATCATGCCACTGCACTCCAGTGTGGGCAACAGAGTGAGACCCTGACTCAGAAAAATAAAATAAAATTAGAAAAACAGACAAAATCCCCGTTTCATTTTGACATGTGCCCAAAGATGAAGATATCTCCCTCGCATCACACACAGTTAGTTCTCCGTAAACCTGTCAGTTTGAGTTGACTGCATTCCTGCTTTCCTCTGGATTTTCAACTACCTTCTTTGCTTTACCTGCCCTCAAACCCTAGTAAATCCTTCTTTCTATCCACTCTGTTATTTATAGCTGGAGAGTTACAATAACAACCTGATGCTTTTAAAACCTAAGAACAGACTGAGACTTCTCACAGTCTCACAGGAGAACGCAGAGTCCCTCATGACGACTTTCATCTCACTATGACATAATTAATTCTAGTTCCCTGTTCGCTTTCCCCTCCTTTGCTCTGGCCATTAAGATCTTCTCATCTTGGAAATGCTGCTCAAGATCTGTCTTCTCTAGGAAAACATTCAAATATGATTCTACATGGCTCTGGTTTTTTGCAAAGTCTTACCAACCCTTAGAGCTCACTCTTCTTGACTATCTCTCCTCCTCTAACAATGCTTCAGTTAATGTGATCTCAATTCTCCTAGAGCTCCTTTTAGGTACATGTGCTTCTGTCCTCTGTATATTTATTAATTTTTTTATCAATATTTTTTATTTTGATATTGTGGGGGCAGTTAAGGGTTAGGTATACAAATATGCTTCATTCAGGCCCCCTATTAATTTTTTTAAATTTTATTTTTTAGTGGAAGTTGCATTCTGTCACCCAGGCTGGAGTGCAGTGGCACAATCACAGATACTGCAGCCTCGACCTGCTGGGCTCAGGCGATCCTCCCACCTCAACCCTCCAACTAGCTGGAAGTACAGGCGTGCACCACCATGCCCGGCTAATTTTTTGATTTGCTGTTGAGACAAGATCTTGCCAAGTTGCCCAGGCTGGTCTTGAATCCCTGGACTCAGGCAATCCTCTTGTCTTGGCCTCCCAAAGTGCTGGGATTACAGGCATGAGCCACCACGCCTGGTCTTGTACCCTGTAATTTTTTTTTTTTGAGTCAGAGTCTCCCTCTGTTGCCCAGGCTGGAGTTGCAGTGGCACGCTCCTGGCCACTGCAGCCTCCAGCAATCCTTCCGCCTCAGCCTTCCAACTAGCCAGAACTACAGGCGGGCGCCACCACACCCGGCTAATTTTTTATTTTTATTGTAGAGACGAGGTCTCGCCAAGTTGCCCGGGTGGGTCTCGAACCCGCAGGGTCTGGCAATCCACTCGCCTTGGCCTCCCAAAGTGCTGGGATTACAGGCTGAACCACCGAGCCTGGCCTCGTACATTTTATAAAATGTATTATTTCTCTCCCCCATATGTCAGTATAGCCTGTTAAATACATACAGGACTATATAGTCGATTGTGTTAATTGGGTACCTAGGCTAACTTTGTTGGACTTACAATAAATGGACTTATGAATATGCTCTTGGAACCGAATTTGTTCATATGTTAGGGACTTCCTGTATTTCAATTCTTCTACACACGGTGAAGATGAACAATAATTAAGTATTGCCCTCTCAAAGGCTATATATTCTCTCTTTGAAAGGCATGGAAATAATTTTAGAACCATCACACCCCTTCTTTTGTATGTTCGATGATCTCAATTTCTTCAACCACTCCACAGTGATCCTATTTTCAATTAAGAAACACATCTTTGCAGTTTTCCTTTCAATCTTTCCAAAATTAGAGTTCATCGTGACCTCTGAAATTTTATTTCAGTTATACCTTTATTTTTTGGATTCTTTCCTCAAGTGGCATTTTGCCTTCAGATGAATTCAAAACCATAAGGGACTCTTTAATCTCTGTTATCCAGTGAATGACATCGTGGGCAAGATCATCACAGCTCTGGTCTTCGGCAGGTGGTAACTTATCCTCTTCCTCAATTTCACCGAATTGTCTCAATAATGTCTGGTATTGAGCAATCACATGTGTTGATTCCGTCATTACTTCTTCTTCAGCAAGCCCATAATCCTTCAAAGAGTTGTTCAGCTGGGCCATAGATTCAAATTGTTCCCTGTGAATTCCAAACATCATTGAAAGTTAATGGGAGTAATGACACCATGGCTGAAACCACATTCCCAGGTAATGGAGTTCATACAAGATTAGTTATACCTCTTTCTCGCTAGAGCTTGGCAAAGTAGCTCCGTTTTCTCTCCACATTCTTCCATTTCTTTCCATTTCCCTTCTTGATTAGTCAACCACTTACTCAGGTTTCTGTGGTCATCTTGGAGTCTGAAAGAATATTACACATGATTAAATATAAAATAAGCAGAAAATATGTATTCTAATGAGAAGGATGGCACAAATGTTATGAACCAATCAGGGTTTTACTAGATATGTTGGTTGTATTTTAGAGAAAATTTACTTGTAACATCAAAGTCTAAGTAATAATGGACGTATTATGGTGGGATTCTATGGTATTAAAGCAATGAATCACAAGTGTATCACAAAGAACAAGAAAAAAACAGAAAACATTTTTGGATTATCCTCTGACCTTTGCCATACAACTAATAATATATATAATCTATATCATATAGATATTTCTATAAAATATATCTATATTATATAGATATACAGCTATGATTTTTTTTTTTTGAGACAAGGTCTCATTTTGTCACTCAGGCTGGAGTACAGTGGCATGATCATAGCTTATTACTGCCTCAAACTCCTGACTCAAAGCAATTCTCTCGCCTCAGCCTCCCAAGTAGCTGGAACTATAGGCATGTACCACACATTGAGCTTAATTTTTTTCATTTTTTGTAGAGATAGGGCCTCACTATGTTGCTCATGCTGGTCAAACTCCTGGTCTCAAATGACCTTCCTACCTTGGCCTCCCAAAGTGCTGGCATTACAGACATGAGCCACCATGCTCAGCCATAGTAATATACATATATCATGTAATCTAAATTTGAATAATTTTCTGAACTTTTATATTCGTAGCACCAAGCCTGGACTTCAAAGGTATGTCTTTTATTTGTGAAATTTGTGTGTATAGTGTGTCCCAGCACTCTCTGTTCTGAGGTGAAATACAAATAAAATTATAGTTAGAAAACATGTTCTCAGGTTGGGGCGGTGGCTCGGCACTTTGGAAGGCTAAGGTGGAAGAACTGCTTGAGCCCAGGAGTTTAAGACCAACCTAGGCAACCCAGTGAGATCTTGTCTCTACAAAAAATTTTTTAAAAAGATCCAGGCATGGCGGTGCATGCCTGTAGTCCCTGCTATTTGGGAGGCTGAGATGGAAGGATCACCTGAGCCCAGAAGGATCACCTGAGTGCAATGAGCCAGAATCAATCACTGGACAACAGAGTGAGACCCCGATTTGAGGGAGGGAGGGAGAAAGGGAGGGAGGAAGTTAACTAGTTCTCTAAATATCACCTTATCCTACCTTAGCAGCTGCTGCAAGCAGTCATCAAGCTCCTTTGCTCGTGCCTGGCATATGGACTCCATTTTTTCTAATTCAATTTCTTGCCCCACAAGCCAACTGTTAAGCTCCTTAACATGTGCTTTGGGCAGATGCTTCTTCACATGCTTCAGCACAGTGTCCACCTGCTGGATTTTACTGCCTTTTCCTTCAAGAGTCAAGAAATCCTTTAAAAAGGCAAAAGTCAATTATGATCTCCAGGTCAGTCTAAAGAGGTCTCTGCCACCCCCATGACACTTTTCCAGACCAGAACACAGACATGCCACTTTCTTAACATCCTACGCAAGGAAGAATTGTGGAGATGTGAACAACCCTATGTAGTTCCAAAATGTGTGTGTACAATTGCATTTGCTTCTGATTTCCTGGGAATCACCACTAGCAAAATCATGCAGACCTACTATAAATATCGGCAGGGGCAAGACCAGGAAAGTGATGTTTTCCCACACTGGTTCTATTAGACTCCTCTACAGACCATCTTCTCTATTTACCTGTGCCCAGATCAGAATTTTATTTCAAGGGTTGTGTTTTAATGTTTAGGCATCACTTGCTGAGGCCCATACAATGGGAAAAATTAAGCACAAGCAAAAAAGGTGGGACTTCAAGTTTAAGAAAACAAGAAAAGTGATTCTATCAGTAAAGAATGGTACCATCAAAGAGAAAAATTAAACAGCAAACATTTTGTGCCATTGATAAGCTTGAGAACATGACATCATCAAAACGACAAAGCCATGGATCATCTGCCTTAAAGTGGTCAAGATTTAAGGGTGTCCCCGGCATTTTAAATAATCCATGCAAATTGCCTTTTATTTCAGGCTACCTTCCAACCAGCCGTGGGTTAAAGTTCAACTGCAATTTTTAAAAGAAATATAACTGGAAAAAGGCATATAAAGTCAAGAGACCTCTTCAAGAAAGTTAGAAGATTGTGAAGTCCAAATTAGGTAAAAATATTTATTTATTTTTTAACACAACCAGATTCCGTGAACACTAAAACAGCATCTTGGAACAAGTGTGAAGCCAGAGCTTCTGTAAGTTACTTGCATCCTTACCTAGGAAATACAGAGATTCAAAATGTTTGGGAAAAAGTCAGGTTTTTGGGAATATTAACTCTTATGTAAAAAAGTTAGCAAGTCAAAGTAATTATTACTCTATCTGCTTAAATACAGTTCTATGCCTGGAATATTTTAGTTTTGATAAATGTTTATTAGTATGTGTGTGTATATATATATGTATATACATATATCTTACAGAAAGTTTTTGTAGCTTTTGTTCCACACTCTTTTTTGTTTCTGATGATTCAAAACACTCCTTAAGGCTCATTTTCGTGTTGCTAAACCAGTCATTAAAGTTCTTGCATTGATCTGCAGGAGGGAAAAAAAAGGTTCTATTCATTCAAGGAGGACTTCACACACCTCGTTAGAGTGAGCAATTTCGAAAGCTTCTTCCCATACCATGGGTACAAGTCATTGTATAAAGTGGTAATACATTCTGAAACCCAATTGTGAAGGCTAATAAAGTCTAGAAAGTGTTGAGCGTGGTGGCTCATGCCTGCTATTCCAGCACTTTGGAAGCCTGAGGCAGAAGGATAGCTTGAGCCCAAAGGATCAAAACCAGCCTGGGCAACATAGCAAGACCTCGCCTCTACAAAAAAAAAAAAAAGTCAAATTAGCTGGGCATGGTGGCACATGTATAATCCCAGCTACTCAGGAGGCTGAAGCAGAAGGATCACCTGAGCCCAGGAGGTCAGGGCTACAGTGAGTCGTGATCATGCCACTGTAACTCCAGCCTAAATGACAGAGTGAGCTCCTAACTAAAAGAAAAATTTAAAAAGCCAAGGAATAATTTGTTTTGTATTTTCTACATCAAACCACCTTTCCAAGTACATGATACCCAAAGACACTTGCCAGGGAACCTGCTTACAAGACTCACTAGGACCTTGGTGACTTACCTTCGAGAAAGTAATAAAGATTTGGACCTTGAAAGAAGTAGATGTTACTTATGTTAGGACCAGATCAGTATTTCCCCCCGAAAGATTTACCTGAATATTATTTCCTTAAATACAGTCTGTGTAAGGCTTTGTGTTCACAGTGCTAGTTTCATACTTCAAGAGTCCCAGAAACAAAGTAAGAGAAACACTGCACTCACCATTCAATAACTTAGAAAAGTGATCTTGCAAAACGCTTTTTTTGGTATTAAATAAATCGCTGACACTTTCGTATTGCTTTTTCAATTCAGAGAGCTCAGGAGTCAGACAACCTATTTGATTCTCAAGTAATATCATACTGTGCTTTTGCTGTAGAATCTGCTGCTGTATTTCCTAAGTATACAAACAAACAACCATTACGTCTTAAAATAGGCTCCATTCACACAAAGCATATTAGATCTCAGTTATTTTGTAAAAATCTAGATGATTTTCTATTGAGTGGATTCATTTCTCTTTGCTAGTAAATGTATAATACAATGCAATTTAATATCAAATAATGACTGTCCACAGAGCAATTCAAAAGTGAAAATGCTAAATATACACACAAGTTGTTCTTCTGAGATTATTTTTCTCAGACTTTCATTTTTTCCTATTTTTATTACCCTCACAGGGTCAGACCCATTGAAAATAGTGTAAAAATAAATCTGAACCACAAAAGACAAGCAGCTGGGCGGCACCTCTAGTTTAGTGAAGATCTCCAAGCTGTCGGAAGGAGACAGGGCTTTTAGGAGGGATTCGGTCATCCCGATCTGGGTCTTGGCTTGGTCAAGATCCTCTTTTAGCTCAGCTGTGCTGCCACTGAGCGCATAGCAGTTGGATTCTCCTGTTAAACACTTTCTCACATGTTCCATCTTGTTCAAAATAGAGGACTCCATGACCTGAAATCATGAAACATACGAAGTACGGTAAGAGACATCACCTAGCTGAAGTGAAGACAACTGCATCGCCAGAGAATGAGACTGCCTCATTTCGACGTGAAATAAATTCTTCTCATTATTCTACATCAATGATATAACAATTCAAATGCTGCCTTTAAAGGAATAAACAGTAACTCGGAAAAACTGAAAGTAACATTCTGCCTTTTCTAAGAAACGAATTTGAATCCTTCCCCCTAAAACAAGTTTCATCTAGCACACCAACTGAGGTGGTAACTCATGGTGCTCATGAGACAAAATATATAGCTGAAATTAAAACATATAGAAAAATTAAGTTGGGCACAGTGGCTCACACCTGTAATCCCAGCACTTTGGCAGACCAAGGCAGGAAGATCGCCTGAGCCTACGAGGTCAAGGCTGCAGAAAGCCACGACTGTGCCACTGTATTCCAGTCTAGGCGACAGAGTGAGACTCCAACTCAAAAAAAATCTATCTCTATATATGTATATATAAAATATTAAATAGCCACTATTCATTGAGTATTTATTATGTACATGGCATTGTAGTAAGCACTATGCATACAAGATACAGGCTTAGGAATTTAAGTAACTTGACCAGGATCACAAAACTGGTAGGCGGTACAGCCGGAACCCCATCCAGAGGGTCTTGACTCAAGAGCTCATATTCAACATTATGCACCTAGATGTTTTTAAAAATAATTTATTTGAACTGATATGAACTAGCTAGAAAGGATTCGTAGACCATCCAATGGAATTTCCTAGTTTTCCATGTGTGGTTGGAACAGCTAGCCAGTTATACAATTAATGGCAGAGTCACAGTTAGTATTGGGCTCTCTTCAATCTCCATCTAGCCTATCTAAGGAATAAGTTAGTAGTTAATGGAGCAAAGAAGCCTTATCTTCAGATGCCACGTGTTTAGCTCTCTTGTAACACTAGTAGATCCTTTTCTTTTTAGAGACAGGGTCTCGCTCTGTTGCTCAGAGTGCAGCGTAGTGGTGTGATCATAGCTTACTATACACTTGAACTCCTGGCCTTGAGTGATCCACCTGCCTCAGCCTCCTGAGTTGCTGGGACTACAGGTATGCACCACCACGCCTGGCTGACTATGAACCTAGCTCTAAATAAAGCGGAAACAAATCACACATACATGGGGCAATCTCCATGTTTCTCTGTCTAGCAATTAATAAACTTAGGATCATTTGAGCCATATTCTCTTTCCTACACCCAAGACACTCAGGAAACCATTGCTCCTTTACACAGAAGCACAGGCAACATTCCCTCATCCAGACATGAGGGCTGTAAAATAAGTGAGACAGAGTAAAACAAAAATATCATATCAACTCTTCTAAAAATAGGATATATGTAACTTGCCAACTATTAAAAATTTGGTTGTAGGAAACAGAAATTGAATAGATAATGATCCAATTCTATTTTAGCTTTAAGATTTAGAACGCATGGCTTATGAACATCGTTTTAGAGGCAATGGAAAATCTTTAATTGGGACTTAAAAAAAAATTTTTTTAAATCTCTTACCTGCAATTCAAGAGGTATTTCAGTGCTTTGAAGCAGAAACTGTATTTCAGCCACTCTTCTAGAAAATTCTGAAGTTTTTTGTTCATGGACCTGTAACTCTTCCTAAAACACATAATTTTAAAGGATTATATCTTTCTATTTCATATCTTGTTTCTGATATCCCTGATTATTCTTGTTGATATACAGAAACTGAGAATAGAACTTCACTTTAGCACATGGAAAATTCTAATTTCAAAGTGTTATAAAATTTTATTGTTTTGGAAAAAAAAAAAGAAACTGAGAGAACCCATGAGTTTCCCCTGGTAACTTGTTTTTTGACAGAGTCCTGGAAGTGACAAACTTAAGTGACTTCAAGGATCAGGCAAATGCTATAACTGAGACTTCCTAGCTATAAGACAACAGAGAGGGGCCAGACCTGTGCCTCCAGAGTGCATGGCTTCCTAAAGGCATTACATTTCATATATTTATATATATAAATTGTACATACATGTGTGTACATGTGTGTGTGTGAACATGCATGTGAACATACACAACTTTGGCAGAATTTGACTCACAGTCTGGCAGTTTACAATCCTTAACTTCAGATTTAAAGGACTTTTAGAAATTATTCATTTATACTTAGAAAATCATAGTTTTCATAACTATTATATCCAGGAAACAAAAACTGTCAACAAATTTTCAAAACATTTTTCAAATGTACAAAAATAAATACGAGTTAAAAGGTGAATAGAATAACAAGAATTAGAGATGATGAGATTTGAAGTATTAGAGATTTTTTTTAATTACACTGAACCACATATAATGGCCAACAACTATTTTATGACCTAGTGAGACAGAAATTTTCTATTATTCAAGCCAGTAGTATGTAAATAACCAAAAATTTAGCAAGAATTTTTCGTAGAATAAAAGAGAGATAACTTTGTTGCCAGAATTTTTCGTAGAATAAAAGAGAGATAACTTTGTTGCCCAAACTTGAGATTGCTGTTTTTAAAACTAGTTTTTGAAGCTCTATAAAGATGTTGCTATTATGCCTTGTGTTCTTTCCTAATCTTTCTGAGTAATTGTTTAACTTAAACAATGAAGAAGGTTGTCCATAATCATGGTCTAGATCAGAAGCTAACAAGCAGCCGGGCTCGGTGGCTCAGCCTGTAATCCCACACTTTGGGAGGCTGAGGTGAGTGGATTGCCTGAGCCCGCGGGTTCGAGACCTGCCTGGGCAACTTGGCGAGCCCGCATCTCCACAATAAATCAAAAATTAGCCGGGCATGGTAGTGTACGCCTGTAGTTCCAGCGACTTGGAAGGCTGAGGCCAAAGGATCGCCAGAGCCCAGCAGGGCGAGGCTGCGGTGGCCAGGAGCGGCCACTGCACTCCAGTCTGGGTGACAGAGTGAGATTCCAACTCAAAAAAAAAAAAAAAAAAGAAGTTAACAAGCCACAGCCTGTTCACAGAAACCTGTTAGCAGCTCCTGTTTGTTAGGACATCACAAAGGAAGTGATAAGAGTTCAGGTCCCTCACAAGGGATAAAAAAAGAAATAAAATATTTCTCTGTGATTTTTCTATCCTGCTCCACGAAAGCAAACTCAGTATTAAAATGTTAACTGTGTACCCCCCCCCAAAAAGCATGTTTTATCTGTTGCATTACCTTCAGTCTTTCTCTGTCCTCTTCAGACAGTTGCTGTAAT